AGGGTTCTCTGTGAGCACAGCAGCAACAGCTGCTCCCAGGGGGTTCCCCAGCCCTGTGCGTGTGGCAGTGGCAGCTGCTCCTGGAGGTTCCTCGGCCCTATGCATGCTATCTACCCCAGGTCACTGGCCCTGCAGAGTGCCACCAACCAGACAGGCTCCGCTTCCACTCGGTCTTAGCCTCTGCAGCTAGGGCTCTCTGGTCTAGCAACATCTGTGGTCCTGTTGGATCACGGATGTTGCTGACCAGAGTGTACCAGACGAGAGAGGTTCAAACTGTACATTGTTTGCATGGTTAATTACTTTCACTCTTAAAAATCTGTCTTATTTTCAGTCTGAATTTGTCTTGTTCATCTCCCAGCCACGAGGTTATTTCAGACCTTCCTCTGTTACATTGAAGAGCCCATTATGAAATATTTGTTCCCCCTTTAAATATGTATAGACTGTAATCAAGTCACTTCTAACCCTTTTCATCACTCTCATGGCTCATCTCTGAACCCTTTAAAGTTTATTAACATCCTTCTTGAACCGTGGGCACCAGAGCTGCACACAGTATTCCAGATTGGTTATACCATTGCTGAATATAAAGGTAAAATAACCTCTTTGCCGCTACTTGAGATTCTCTTGTTCTCCTTTGAGTGGTGTCTCTGTGGGTGTTCCACTCTGGGTATTGGTGCATCCTTGCGCCGGTGACCGGAGACTTTTCTAGCAGTTTCCACTGTGCTGCGCATGAACTGTGGTGCCCCCTTGTGCCATTAGTGTCCATTAGGAGTGCTCATGGCACATCCCTTCATTTCCTTCTCTACCATCCTCAGCAGCAGATGGAGCCTCTCTTTCTCCAAGCGACCTATCAACAAAGCAACAAAAAACCTGTTATTTCCCATTAGTTACCACAAGTTCCAAGTTTTCTCATCCCTATCCCTGCCCCAACACCAAAAAAAAAAAAACCAAACAAAAAGTTTTTTGTTGCTGCTTGCTGCTTTTCCTGCATCTCATGCCGGGATCGCTTGGCTTTAAAAGATGGCATGAACGTCCAAAGTGCATAAAGTGCCTGGGGAAGACGCATCAGACACAAAAGTGCCCCCATTGTTTGAAATTGATGGCCAGAGCATGCCGTGATCGAGCCAACAGGCTGAAGTCTCTGCTCTATGAGGACACCCCAGCGGGTCCAAAGCCAGCTTCCCAATCAAAGGCTATAGATAAAACGCGTCCCTCTGCCCCTTCGAGCCCGACTACCTGAAAAGCGGGTCTGTCTCCAGCCTGATCACTACCCTTGGCACTGATAGCTGCAAGGGTCAGCACCGCAGATAGGCCCAGAACGTCTGGTACAGAACCGTTCAAGACACTGGCACCACAGAAAAGGGCTCATTCAGAGCTGAAACAAAAACTACCTGCACCCACTGCAACGGCGGGCTATCATAGGGTACGTCTACACTACAACGTTAATTCGAACTAACTTAGTTTGAATTAGTTAATTCGAACTAAGCTAATTAGAATTAACGCATCCAGACTAAAAAACTAGTTTGAATTAGCGTTTTGCTAATTCGAACTAGCATGTCCACACAGAGTGGACCCTGAACCAGGCTTAAGGATGGCCGGAAGCAGTGCCAGCAGGGCATCAGAGGAGGACTTAGAGCGTGGAGATGCTGTCTCAGCTGAGGGCTGCGCTTAAAGGGTCCCGACCCCCAACCCAGACAGACAATTCTCAGGGGTGCCCTGCTTGCAAAGCAGTCCTGGCTTGGAGTGCCCGGAGTACCCACACT